ATTTAGCTCTCATCAGCTAGCCATACCCAAGTTGGGAATCGAACCTGTGCTCTATTGCCTCCCAGGCAGGGAGTTATCATTTGTACCTAAAGATAATCCTCAATTTACAACACTTCTTTTAAATACTGTTCAAAGTTACAATGGCACTGGAAAAAAGTGACTTATGGCCATTTTTCTCATGACCTTTGTAGCATCCCATGCTCATGTGATCAAAATTCAGATGTTTGACAACTGGTTCCTACTTATGACCATTGCAAGTCCCAAGATCATGTGATCACCTTTGGTGACCTTCTGACAAGCAAAGTCAATGGGGAAGCCAGATTCATTTAACAACCGGGTTACTAGTTTATCAGCTTCAATGATTCACTTAACAACTGTGGCAAGAGAGATCAAAAAATGGGTCAAAACTCACTTAATAACAGAAATTTGGGGCTCAATTGCAGTTGTAAGTGGAGGAGGACTACCTGAAATTCACTTTCAAATGCCATCTTATGCTGTGTGATTCCAGTTATCTTTCTCTGCATCTGAACACTATTGAAAACTAAACCCTCGGCAGTTTGCAGTGAAGCACTGAAGTAGGGTTGACTTGCCAACGTTGATCAGCTTTTTAAAAAAAGGCTTATGTAGAAAAGCACTAAAGGGTGAGAGAAGTGGCCAAAATGCCACAGCTATTCAGGTTCAATCAATGGAAGGTTGTGTTTCCTTATAGATCTGCTTTACTAGGGAGGAGGGAGGTGCTCAGGGAATCACCTTAGAATTTGATCACTCCATCATTTACCCTACCGTAATAATTACACACCCTGGAAACTCATGTGTCAAGCACTTCTGGTTTGTTAAATAAATGCTTATTACAGAAAATGTTGCCGCAATCAACATGCCTGTGGCTCTGATATTTGGCTACACAGTTATTGCTTCTTTTTCTGTCGACGTTGTCACATCTTCAGATTTATTTTTTTATGTATGAGGATGCCAGCTAAGCAACACTGTGGCCTAATCCATGTGTATTTCTTTATGGCTGAGCGGAAATTTCAAGTTGATTGGTCTCAGGTTTGTATTTTTTAAAATGCATATAAAACCAAATTTGCCTCCCTTAAAGATGAAAAGGTGTGGGTAGAACATGCAATGAATCCTAGGACGCAAAATAGAATTAAAATAGTATTTAAAAGCACTACCTGGATGTTATATTAAAGAAAGTATTTAAATGTGCTGAGTTGGTAATTCTTTATAATTTCTGTGAGAAATGCATATAAATAAATACAAGAGGTTAATGAATATCTGATGAACATAAATATGGAAAATTGCCAATTAAGTAACATATAACACATTAAGATTCCAGAAAAAAAAGATGAGGTGCATGAAGTAGAAGATACTTTGCTTAGATTTGCAAAGGTCTTACATTTTAAATAGTTTTAATATATATGTGGAGTGTGTCTAGGTATTAAATATAATCCAATCTTATTAAGACATGCAGCCGATTGAAAGAATCTTGGAGTGAGGCCACAAAGTAATAAACGGCTTATAAGATCTCTGGTATAGCTCATACTACTACACCAATACTACATATGCCCTTACTGTGCAACAGGAAGATGGATGTGCTAAAGCTAACTAAAGAATAGAATACAGAATAAAAGAGTTGGAAGGGACCTTGGAGGTGTTCTAGTCAGTGCTGGGTTCCTACCA